CACGATGGGAGCTGTATCAGATCTCTCCTGGTAAATCTCTCTCATTTAGTGTCACCTGGGATGAGCTCCAGGATCACCATGGATGGGTGGGAAAATATACATATTTGCATTGATAAGATCCTGCAAGATAAGATCAATGCAAGCGTAATCTAGATCACAGAGTGGGACAGAAATGAGTGAAGTGAAATATAAAAAAAAAAAAAGGTAAAGTCATAGCGGCTGACCTAAAGTGTTGCTGAGGCTTTTGGAGGTTAACAGATAATCCTATGTGTAACCACCTAAAACTGAATTTTGGAAATGAAAATGCAGAAAGTGTGGGCAAAATTGTTGGTACCAGAAGATCAGGTTAGTCAGTTTTTTAGTCAGAGCTTTACTCAACAATCCTGTTTAAACCAGCTTTGGTTCCTTGTTGGTTTACTTTAAGTGGGGAAGTATGGCATTCATCAAAATGCAGTTTCCAAACCATTTGCTATAGTCTAAAAATGGAAATGTAAGGCAGTCTCAAAAAGGGAGATTTTAGACTATTATTGACTTATTTTATTAACTTAACTGCAATAATAAGCAATGGCAGGCACAAAGTCCAGAACTGGAAAACCCTTATCTACTATTTGGATATCCTGACTACACCGGACATAGTAAAAAAAGAAACCGCTGATGTTCCCAGAGGCTAAGGACCCCATTATACCCACCATGTCCTGCCTGGCAAACAGAACTGTACCACAAAGTTGACGTTAAACTGATATTGACTTTGTTAATGTTGTTATTAGCTGCCGTTTTCGCTAACTCGTGCGCCTCTTGATTTTTGTAACTTGGTGTGTTATTCTACTTCCTGCCACCCGGTTAAAGACAGCATGATATGATGTTCGTGTTGTTGTTGGTCCAGGTTCAACACTGCAAGTGACCAGTGACATAGCTGTGATGTCATAGTTTTGCAATGTGGAAACACCATTACAACACACACAAAACCCTAACCCTGACTGCCATTCTATTTTTTTCTTGAGAGTCCATCGGCAGGTTTTTTCCACGATGCAAAACTATGACATCATAACAATGTGATTGGTCACTTGCCATGTTGAACCTGGACCAGCATTTACTACAATAATCCAAAAACAACGCCCAATACGGGGATATGGGATACAATTGTGTTGGTTTTTACTATTTTACATTTGAAGATGTATGAGTGCTAATGGTAGTAGCTAGGGATGGGTATCGTTTAGGTTTTATCCAATACCGGTGCCAAACCGGTACTTTTGAAA